TTTTAAAAGAAACAAATTTTTAATTAGAAATATTAATCTTTTTAAAAATACAAGTTTTATATTTTTAAACCATTAATTTCTTTTTATAAATATATGATTCTAAATTAAAAATTCTTGGATTGATAATAATAAAATTTGGAAATTTTCTAATCAATTAAAAAATTTATGATGAAGTAAACATTTTATATTTTATGTAGAGTTGACTTTGAAAGAGAAATTATATCTTTTAATGAATTTAAAATTTAGAATCTTATAATATTAACTTAAAATCTTAATAAAATGTGGTATTTTATACTTATTTAACATATTAAAATCAAAAAGAGTCTAATTTGGTTAATAAAAAATTTAACTGAATATGCTTTAAATTAAGTAAATAAATTATTTTTGGAGAATTATGTTTTGGTTTTAAATGTGAATACAAATAAAATTGGATAGAACATTTAGGCAGCTTGATATACTCAATTCTTTTGGCTATACTCAATTCTTCTGTTTATTCTCCGAAGAAATTTTTACAACAGCCCAATAAAATCAATTCCATTTTTATGATTAGATTTCTTATCTGTATTCTCTTTAATAAAGACAGAATGATTGACTAAGCTGACATCAAAGCGTTTAAGCCCAATGAGTCTATATAAAATATTTTTTTTCTCATAAGTAGATATTTCCGAGTTAAAATGTATAACTCAAGATTCCCTTTCTTATGAAGATCAGAGGCTGTTTCCTCTTGAAAAACAGAGCTAATTATTAATAGGGTTTGATTTTATGTTGAAATTTTTATAAATTTTAAAAGGCATTTGAATTAAAAAAAGAATTTCCACCAAAATTGGTAATAATAATTTTTTGTAGTCCTATTATTTTCCTATAATAACTTATTACTTAATTGCGTAAAGATTATATGGCCAATTTGGAAATATTTTGATTTATTTCAATTTTTACCATTAGGCAGTAGGAACTAAGCCTTTTTTTTTGAATAAAATGGTCATAATAATTAAATTTTTAAAAAATTAATAACTATAATAATTCAGTTTAAAAAAATTCATTCACTTTTAATATGTTTACTAGTTGATACAAAAGTCTTAATGTAGTTTTTGACCAGTTTCAAAGAAACGCTATAATTCATGAACACTCTTAGATAAAACAATATTAATGAAATACACAGGTATCTAAACTTGATATAAATTTGCAAGGAAGAATATTTATATTTCAACGAGAGATCTTTTCAGAAACGTTTAGGAAAAATTAGTGAGGAAGTTTGAACGATTGAAAATAAAATTTACTTTTTATTTAAGACATATATATTATTTACTTAAATTGAGAGCTCAAACTCGTTTTTAGTGCTTTTGCGGAGATTTCTAAATATATATATTCCTTTGTCCAACTGGTTGCGTGTCATTTATTAGTTGCTTCTGAACTTTCATCATCACTAAAGTCATAACCTGTTTGAAAAAGCAGTAATTCAGCTCTAAGTCGACAATCTTGACAAAATTGAACAAGAACAAAAACAAAATATTATAAATAATTTTGTATTTACTGTGCACAAAAATTTGAAATTTCAAAAACTGAAAACGATATTAATTTACTGCAAAAAATTATTTATTTGATCAGGAAATAATATTGAATACGATTATTAAATTCAAGTAGTTTAATTAACGATAATTTGATTCAAACGTTTAGCATTTAAACAGAAATCGGTCATTTTTATTCATAATATTTAAAAATTTAAGAAACAAAAAGCACTTTGAGTTTACCGAAATTTTTTTTTGGTATGAATATAATTAGTTACTTAAACTAGTTAACACATTTTTTAAGTTTTGCAAAATTCAATGTCCAAAACGTAAATTGCAAATATTTTATAATCTACTTTAAACATATTTGAAGTTTTGTCATACCAGTTTTAAAAACGAGCACTTTAGCCAATAATTTGTATAACTTAAAAATATTAACTATTTCATTTTATAATATATTGTAATTAGATTGTATAAAAAGTGTCAACAAATAATTGCCAAATATTTTAATATTTATTAATTATTTTCAATTTTATATTAGTATAAATAATATATGATGGTTTATGTGTAAAAAAAGCATAAGGTGGATTTAATGAATAATATAACATTATACAAATTATAAACATATTTTTTTAAGTTATATAAAACCGCAATTTTTAGTTTATTATCTAAATATTTTTTAGTGTACTTAAAACAAAATATTTTATAGTTGTTTTTTATTAAGCTGGTTAATTTATTTGCTATTTATTTTCTTAAAATTTTAAAAAATTTCTTATTTTGATTCACATTTACATTTAATTTTTTGTTATAACAACAGTTTTTATGGTGTTTTTTCTATTCAATATTTAACCATTATTTTTATATGTTATCTTTGTATTAAGATAAATCAAAATTTTTAAATACTGCCAAAATAGCATTGTGTAATTTGCATAAATTTATTTTATTTTAAAATCAGATTAGAATTATTTTATAAGAATTTATTTAAAATATTTTAAAATTTACAAATTTATAAAATTACTTTATTTACTGTTATAATTAAATAATTGAATATTAAAAATTTGTAGTATTTAATTTTAATTATTTTACTTATATATTGGCTATTGATATAATTAATTCCAAAGAAACAAAAAAGCAGTTTTAAAAATGAAACAATTTCAATATTTGAAATTTTGATAATCTGATGCATTTTTATCGATTGTTAAGAAACCTTGTTTTTTAATACTTTTATTAAATTTTCTATTTGAAAAGCTTTTAAAGTTTCAAAGTCAAGTGTATTGTATCATATTTTGAACAACTTATTGCAAACCTAATTTAGGTATTTTTGAAATCAAGTTTTGAAAATTATTGCTTTAAAAATTTAGTCCAAAGTTATGGATCTATTTTGGAAAATTTGTCAGTTTCTTTTTTAATCATATTAGCTAGAATAATAATTTCAGTTGTTGCTTGAACCTTGCTGATTTTGAGCCAATTTCTCGCTTCATAAAAACTTTAATATATCACTTTTTGATTTCACCTGAAAATTTTTTTTAATTAAAACTGTTTCATTTGGGAAATTTCCTTAAGTTTTTATGCATTTTTGTCATTTATTCAAAATTTTACTTCTTAATATAATGGAAAAAAGTTTGACAAAATTATTTATTTTCTGGTTCTCTTGTTATAAGTTAAGCGAAAATGTGTTTCTTAAAAGTATAGGTGCTTTGATACAAATAAACTTTTGAAAATTGCTTTAAATAATTATTATTATATGAAAATCTGAACTTTAATATTTGAAGGCTAAAAATGTTGTGAGTTACAATATTAAAAAAGTATTCAATATCTCAGATATTTTTAATAGACAATTTTTATAATCTGACTGCTACTCAGAATACCAATGCTTCAAACTGGGAATAGAAAGCTTTTTAAAATTTAAAATATTTATCTGAACTTTAATTTTTGATCCTTTTTTTTGAAAAACAATTTCTATACCTTTGTATCATAAAAATTATATTAGAAAAAATTTTGAGACTAATTTGAAGAAAACCAAAAATATTTTTCTCAGAAAAAATCTGTTTTTTGTCTAATATATTTATTGAATTGCTAACTTCTTAAGTTGACACCACTACTTTAAATATTCTAATTTTTGAGGTGGGTGTTTTGGACTTATTGAAATCTAAACAAGGCGACAACCCTGTAATCAACCTTAAATTAATTTTAAATAAACAAATTTAGTAAATTTTATAGCGGTTTAATTAGTTTCTTTGAATTTGAACAATTCAAATAAAGAGAAACATCCCATTTCAAGAAAGATCCAATATGGTTAGTAAAATTCAAAAAAGTTTCTCATTTCAAAAATTAAAATGCAAAATTCTCTGCTTAAATTTAATATATTGGACATTCGAACGAATGGATTATATTTAACTGCCTCCATGTAGAGATTAATTTTTAACCAAATTTTGAAATCTTATAACTTTATAAGGTAATACTTTTTCTCTTTCTTATCATTTTTCAAATTATCAAATAATTGATGCAAGTATTATAGCGTCAAACTTGGGAATAATTTTTGGCCATTGGCAAAATATAGACTATTTAGCTGTATTGTTGTTTTTAGGAGAAAATCGGAGGCCTTATAAAATATAGAGTAAATCACAAAAACAAAATTAAAAACCTTATTTAAAATTTTTCCTTGTAAAGCAATTTAAGCTTGGGAGCTAACCCTAACCCTATTCTCTGACGTTAATGGCAAGAGCTATCATTTTATAAATTTCATTTTTAAAATTGGGAAAACTCGAGAGAATCATTTCATTAAAAACAATAAAAGAATTGATAAGTGAGAAATTTTCCCCGTTTCTAACAATGAAAGTAGACTCTACAAAAAATATTGCGTCATGTCCTGAACTTTCAACTCACAGTCTAGATGCAATTTGTCTTAATATTCGTTCGCGGACTCACTTTTGACTAAATGAGAAATCTGTCAAATGACGACACCTTGTCGATTTTATGTTACAACCATTTAAAGCAACCTTCGCGTTTATTATAAAATGATGGACGAACTAGTTTCATCTCTAAAAATTCCTTCAGCAAACGATTAATCTGCTCTGGCTATAACTTTTAGCCCTATTTTCAAGGGAATCAAAAGATTCCTTTAACGAGAAATTATTGATGTACAGAACATAAATTTGAGAAAATCTTCAATCAGAGAAAATCAAAAGTGTACGATTACTAAGAAAAGAGAAGTTCTTTAATTTCTTGAACTTCAAATACATTAAATATATAAAAATTGGATATAAAAGAACTCAAACCAAAAGTCCTCGCTATTTGAAAATACAAATAAGTTTTTAGCCCATACTTGTTAGTTAAAATTGGTATTTGAAATAAAATTTAGAAATCAATTAAGTTTTAATTAATCAAAGGTTGATAGAATTGATGAATTACTTACAATCATATATATATCTAAAATACGTGAGTCAATTTCAAGTATTTTATAATAAATAATTCGAATTATTACCATAGAATATTGCTTCCATGGCGTAATTGGTCAGCGCGTTCAACTGTTACACACGTGGTAACTGAGAGGTCCTAGGTTCGATCCCAGGTGGAAGCTGTAATGATACCTAACCTATCCCGTGAAGGCCTGGGCTAGGGGTGGTATCATTAGCTAAAATTTTTAGTTTTGGAAACAAGCCTCTTCACTCAACAAATCAATATATGCCTAGCCCAAGTTTTAGTGATCAATATGTATTTCAATAATCTTGACCGATGAAGTTGCATAAAATCCAAGATACCACGATTTTTGCAGAGTCGTCAGAGTAAAAACCAAATAAATATTTTTTAGTTAAAAATCAAGATGATCCATTTTTGGTCTGTATGCTTCTCATTCTGGCATAAATTTTCAAGTTTCAACAAAAGCTACAAAATAAATATTTATAATTCAATTTTTCAAAAAATTTTCATGAATTTATTTAAAATTGTGTAAAATTTCAATCTCATTTTTGAAGTCTTAGTATTCAAAATTTTGCCTTTGAAAAAAATTTGGCATATATAAAAAAAGCAATCTTAAAACACAATATAATTTTATAAATTTATGATACTAGCCTTTAAACAACGTAATTTCAAAGTTTTGAAAAACATATTTATAGAGAGAAATGCGTTTATCGATAAAGTAATTATGTTCATTCACAATGGATATCTGTACATTTCTCATATTTTACGAAGACTTTAATTTTAGAATTTTCAGCTAAATTTATACAGTCTCCTTAAATGATTTAAAAACTATATCATCTTCCAAAAGAAATTTCAATTTTTTTTCTATATAATTATATGAAAATAGTCAATCCACAGTTTTCTCCCAAAAATTGATATTTTTATTTTTGAATAATAGTGGTACGATATTAAAAAGGTTACCTGCTAAAGAACTCATCAAGCCCAATTTCACCAAAAATAAGGCTAAACTTGTGTTCGCTTTATCTTGAAAATGTATACGGTATTGAAATTAAGATTTTTTATCATTCTTTAGTTTACAGTAAAAATAAATATCAATGTCACTTTATATTTTTTATTTATCCAACGAGCTTTCCCAAATATTTCCAATATTCATTTTGTACGGTTAAAATTTTTAAAAATTGATTGTAATTTAATTTTTGAACAAATGGAATTCTCTCAAATGTTTAAGTCATGATAGCTCAAGCTATTTATTTTAAAAACAATGTCTAAGGTACGTAGGCCTATGAATATTTTTCCTTTCTTGTGTTTTAATATCAAAATTGATTGTAAAAAAAGTTGGTTTGGAGTTTAAAGTAGCATAAGATCTACCAAATCTGCAGCTAAAGAATCCCGAAACGCTATATTTAGTTACGGTCTTTCCTTTCCAAGGCAATCCTGATATTCTGGCCACAGGGAGTTTTTCCTCCAACCTCAATTTCCAAAAGCACAAATCTTAAAATTGTTGTCCAAGTCTGATCTTTTTAGGATTTCGTGCAACGAAATCCTTTAATAGGCTACATTAAACTGTTACCCGGTGAACACAAGTACAGCATTTATCCAATTAATCGAAATTCCAGTTCATTTAATGCATATTAAAGTTAATGAATTTGTTGCAGCGCTCAAAATATCAATAATAGAATAAATATTCTGTAGCAATGTTTACAAATAATTTTGTTTTGCAGAATTAATTGCTCGTTGTTGCTTGGTTCAGTTTGCGCAGCTACTTCCCCGATAATATTCGAAACACACAATTCGACAAGATTACCTTTTTATCCAGTCTCATCTTTATTTATCCTTTGGAAATGTTAGGTTAGCAAAGTATAAATATTTTTAGATTTAACGTTCAAATATAAAGAAATTAGTCTGCTTTTAATTAAATTAAAAAATTGTAACAAAAAATTGGGATTATCTCATATAATCGCGCGAAATCCAAATCACTTGGATGAGGTATTGTATCGTGTTCATAAGATTTCAAATGCAGCATCAATCATATTTGTCCTCATCATTATTTTTGTAGTTTTTATTAATTCCTCATTCAAACTCCTGGTAAATAATTCAGGTAGCCTTTCAAATTTTTTTGTTACTCTACCAAAATGGAATACTCCGCGTACCCAAATGGTCGATGTCAAAGCTGCGGTCGGGCATATCGTGAGAATAGTGAATGGTGTCAACCCTGCTATCAGCAACGTTTTCAAAAAGAATTTCACAGCTGGACTTCGGGTCACGCTTTGATAGATTCATTTATAAAGGACACTCAATTGAATGCTGATAATCCAAATGGGTTTCTTCAATTTATTCCTTTTGAAAAGTTTCGAGAGATCAAACCTATTGGCGAAGGTGGTTTTGCTACAATTTATTCGGCAAAGTGCTTTGATGGACAAAAAATTATTTGGGATCCTTTGCATGATTTATGGAGCACGTGGGATGAAACTTTGATTGTTTTAAAGTTACATCGAAATTCAGGGAGGATTATTGATGATTTTTTACGAGAAGTAAACAATCTCATTTAAGCTGGTATAATGTTGTTTTATTAAGATATTTTTCCAATTTGAACTAAAGATTTTTCTCTTGGATTCTTTTTAAAAATCGAATCGAATTTTCTTTTCTGAAGATGCAAGCTCAAGTACAATGTTCGGGACATGATTCAATACAGCAATATATAGGATTCACGAGACAACCACATACAAATCAATTTTTCCTTATAATGAAGTATGCGGACGTCAATCTAAGGCAATTTATTCGAAATAATTATCAAAAACTCTCGCTCGCACAAATATTCAATATTCTTAACAAAATCGCTGATGGTCTGGCATATATTCACTTGAATGGCTTCGTACATCGAAACTTGCATCCCGGAAATATTTTACAATCCCATGAAGTTCGACTTTGGCAAATATCTGATATCGGTCTAATAGGGCCTGTAGACCAAAGACCTGGTTCAAGAGTTATTGGAATCCTTCCATATCTTGCCCCGGAAGTTTTGCGGCGTAGTGACTATACTTCAGCTTCGGATATTTATAGTCTTGGAATGATTATGTATGAAATGACTCATGGTCATCAACCATTCTATGACCGTGCTCATGACAATGAACTTACCGAAAAAATCTGCAAAGGATTAAGACCATCAATTCACAAAAACATCCCGAGGAAAATTGTGGAACTCTTAAACTTGTGTTGGCATGAAAATCCACAACAACGACCATCCGCTGATCAATGTCAAAATTTTTTCTCTTGTTGGACAAATCACAAAAAATTTCTTTCCTACAATGAAAGTAATCTTACGATCTATCCTCCACCACACCCTCAAGCTATTTACACAAGCCGATATTTGGGATTTGCAGAGATATCAGACCTAAATAATGATGAAAATAGGAACCTGAAAACTCCAAATCAGAACAAAAAGTTATCGGAAAGCTTGGGTAATGGAACTCTAATAGATCATTCCTTGCAACTTTCATTCTCTGGGGATAACACGATTGACGGTAAAATAGGTTTAACTATACTTTGAAATTTAAATTCTTTTTGTTGATGTTTCTGATTATTCTCTAATACCGTAGTGCCTCTTCAGCAAAACCATGATCTTGAGCTTTATTCACCAGACATGAATACAATAAATGAAAATGAGGAGGTTGTGTTTGAGAGACAAACCGATGATTGCAAGTATTAATTTGAATTATGTATCTTTGCCTTAACATTTACTAATTTCCCTTCTCAATATCTTCTATTTTAACAGGGTTGATATTTAATCCAAAATCTGCTGCGAAAGAATCAAAATATCTAGCGTGGGATTTTGGTCAATGTCAAAAATGTGGTGGGAAATTTAAAGAAGAACGATGGTGTCAATACTGCACGCGCACATTTTTGCAAGATGAATTTGATAAATGGACTAGTGGAAACAAAATGCTTGACCAATTCATTCAAAACATTCAAAAATCCGCCACAAGTGCAAATCAGCTCATTGAATGGGTACCTTTCGAAAAGTTTACTGATATTGTGATAATTGGCAACGGCAATGCTGGTCCTGTGTTTTCTGGCAAATATTTTGAAGGTTTCAAAGTAGGCTGGAATGCTAGTTCATGTATCTGGGACAAGTTTTATGAGCCAGATGGCAAGTTTGTCTTGAAATCGATACCGAATTCGAAACAGATTACCGAAGAATTGTTAAAAGAGGTAATAATATATTTTGCTTGCTGGAACAAGTTTTATGTGATTGATAATTTATCTATCACCAGATTACAAACGGTATTACTTGTATCACTCCTGAAACAATTAACTACTACGGACTTTCGTTAAATCCTGATACCCACGATCTCCTAATAATAATGAAATTTGCAAAAAATGGAAATTTACATCAATATTTGCGAAAGCATTTTGACGAAATGACATGGGAAGAAAAATTTGAGACATTGCAAAGAATTGCTAATGGATTGGCTCGAATTCATAATAATGGGTTAGTACATCGAGATCTTCACCCTGGAAACATTCTTCGATCTGGTTCCAATACCTTTATTGCTGATCTCGGGCTTCATCCGTCGACTGAATGGAATGTGATCGGTATACTGCCATATGTTGCCCCTGAATTACTGGTTGGAAAACCCTATTCGCCATCTAGCGACATATACAGCCTTTCCATGATTATGTGGGAAATCGCTTCAGGGGAAATCCCTTTTGGCGATAAAGCCCATGACGGGAATTTAGCACTGCAAATATATCGCGGCCTTAGACCTGATGTATCAGAAGATATTCCGGAAAAGTTTGCTGCCCTAATCAAACGATGTTGGAATATTGATCCATCGCAAAGGCCATCGGCTGTTGAATGCTATGACTCGTTGAAAGATTTGGCCGACGCGCAATGGAAAACATCCAGAAATGCCTCAGTTGTTTCTTTGCCTGGCCGTTTGAGTTCTTCAGGGTTAATGACCCCTACAGAAAATGGGTTTTTTTTGCTTAATCATTCTGCGAATTTAAGCTTTTCTTTGCCATCAGCTAACAAAAGGCTTCGACCGTATGCACGATACAAACATCCTTCCGCAGTATTTAAAAGTCGAAAATTACATTTTCCAGATTTGATCGAAAAAACGAAAAAAGAAGAGAATAAATTTGGTGAATGAAAATTTTGAT